TAACATTGCGCGCTAATATTCTAAATAGCTCTAGAACAATGTCAAAAGTGGGAAACCATATTAAAGAGTCTTAACAATGACTTGCGGACTCTGACCGGCAAGCAAGGTGAGTTGCGCCGCCTAGAAAAGATGATCCAGAGGATCAATCATTATCTTCCAACTTGAAATGATCACTCGGCATCTGCCTCATCTCTTCAAGAGTAAGAGTCCTCTACTACAGAGAGTATACTCCGCATTAAAGCAATTATCCACACTGGTATCATCTTCCCGGTCAGAGTCATCTTCAGCTCCAGGATCTTTCTTCTTCGTCAGATATTTTCCATGTTGAAGTCATTCTCTACTTCGCCATTAGAGGATTGGCTTCTCTTTTGTATATAAGTTGCGAAATTCCTCAATTTGATATCATATGCTTAAACTTTCGAAGTCTCTCGAGGGGTTCATATTTTCATATGTCCTAATTCATTGATTAGCTTCAAAGATAAAAATATTTCCTCGAAGTCGAGGATTTTACAACTAGTCTTTTATCCTATTTAACTCATCTCTATCAATAATATACTGGAGTAGAAAGTTCATTCTAAGAGATTACATTCATCAACATTTTATAACACTTTTCTTGGGTTCTTTCAAGAGCTCTTTTCTTGCACACAACACTGCCGATTAGCTGAGTATAGAATTTTCAGACACTCTATTACAGAACTATTGGCTATATCAAATTCAAATCAGTTTTTATTAATTTCTGAAACACAAATAAATGCTCATAATTCCATATACAGGAATAAAAGTTTCCATAAAAAACAAAGATGCCAAAACAAAGATGCCACAATGCAAGAGCATAACAACGCTGTCGAGTAGCCGAGTATTGGATTTTCAAACACTCTATTACAACGCAGTACTGGTTATATCAAATCCAGATCAGGTTTTGTTAATTACTAAAAAATAAATAAACATTCTGTCCCACACATAAGAACAAGTTCTCTTAACCCCCCCCCCCCCCCAAAAAAAAACCACAACCCAAAAACAAAGATGCTACAAGTCAAGAACAAGACTGTAACACTGGTATATATCAGATCTTCTTTCACTATGTCTCACTTCATCAAATCATCAAACCAACCAACTTAACTCATTCTTTTGTAAATAAACAATCACACTCATTTACAAAATGTCCGAGAAAAAAAACATTAGCGTTATCGAACGCCTACAAGTCGATACCGCTCGTCGGCAGCAAGAAGCCAAAATTGGTAAGCCCACCACCAAGGCTAAGTCCATCAAGACTGAGCCCGCAAAGACTGAGCCTACGAAGCCAAATTTGGAAGAGCAAAACCCAATCCCGCTAAACATGGAGCCCAATCCCTGGAACAACCCCGAGCCCGAATCTGGGTTGAACATGCAGAACATTGAAGTTTCCGCGAGTAAGGAAAGTCAACAAGCGATGATACGATCGTTGGTGTTAGCTCAAGTACGACAGGACAGGAATTTGCATACTTTTGAGAACATCAAGAAGGCCATGACGCCGTTAAGCCGCCCATCGGGGCTTCTCGACGTATTCAGACCACGGGCATCTACAATAGATGTACCACAAGACTTCACAAAAGATCTCGAAAGGTTGGCGTTCAAATTGGAAAATCAAGATGAAATCATCAGAAATTTGGGTGAAGCAAGTGACAAATATATTGCGAACAATCAATCCCTGACAACGGTCATTGACCAGAGGACCGCCGAGGCCAATGAAGCTAAAGCCAATTTGAGGATCCAAGCTGCGCTATTAGTTGAATTGCAAGGGAGACTTGCAGGTGACATGGCAACGACCATTGCCATGCAGGAAAACAATAGAAAACTCGCTGTTCATTCGGAAGGAAAAAATGAGTTGATTGAAAAGCTCGAGAAGGAGCTTGAAGAAAGCAAGCGAAAACTGCACACAGCAGAAAAAAAGCTTGAAGAGATCCAGCAAGAATTGTGCGCAGCAGAGGCTGTCGTAGCAGTAGCACCTTTTGTGAGTCCAGGGACCCTTGACGCAGAAAAGATGGAAAGTATCAGGATCCAAGATAGAGCAGAGGACCAAAAAGAGATCAGAAATCTGAAGTCGAAAATCTCAGCACTTGAAAAGGAGCTTCATGAAGCAAAAGTGGAACTCGAACAAGAAAGTCTTACCGTGAGACAGATAACGGAACAGTCCGCAAATGAGATCCTGCATCTTAAAGAGGGCTTAGAGGACTTTGACGCTCAGTCAACTCAGCACGAAAATGAGCTCGCCAAGCTCCAAGAGGACCTTGACAATCTGGCCATTGAAAACATCGAGGTGAAGACTCAGCTGACTTCCGAGAAAGAATCGTCTGCCATTCTACGCGAAGAAAACATCGAGTTGAAGACTCAGCTGACTTCCGAGAAAGAATCGTCTGCCATTCAACGCGAAGAAATGGAGAAAATCATTCGGAAACTCCAGCTTGAACTTATCGAAAGCAAAGGCAATTTCCGCTCGTGGCTACGACTCCGACCCCCACAGGGCACGCTCATCAAGCAGCCAATCAAAATCATCGGTGATGACAAAGTGGAAGTCAAAGACCGCTACGGGAAGACAAGAGAGTTCAACTTCGATCGTGTTTTCGCCCCGGAGGCGGACAATCCGACAGTTTTCAAAGATCTCAGCGAGATCTTGGAGGCAGCTCTTCAGGGATACGACATCACCGTCCTTGCCTATGGACAGACCGGTTCCGGCAAGACTTACACCATGAGTGCGATGATGGACAAGGCATTGGAACAAATCTTCACTCAGCTCGCCAAATCTGACGGATCCTTCAGCGTCAAGGGCCGATGCATTGAAGTATACGAACAGAAGGTATACGATTTACTCAAGTCAGCCCGAGAACAGCCAAAAGTCTCGACCGATTGCGGTGGCATGTGGCCTGTCCGTGACCAGTTGATGCAGATTGAAACAGCCGACCTCGACAATGTCGAATCCGTCCAAGAAATGGTCAAGAACGTGAACAGTAATCGTACATCTGGTCAAACGGAGAAAAACTATACTTCTTCACGTTCCCACATGTTCTTGTCCTTCCAGGTGAAGGCAACAAGAACCGAACCATCTGGTGCCCTCACAACCACGCGCTCTGGAGTCACATTCGTCGATCTTGCAGGATCCGAATCTCTCAAAGAGGTCACTGGTCGCCAGTCAGAAACACAGGCCATTAACGCCGAGCTCTCAGCGTTGAAAGGCGTGCTAATTGCCATGGGCAGTAACGCACCACGCATTCCGTTCCGAGACACCCAACTTACCAGACTGCTCCAAGACGGCTTTACCGGTGGTAAAGTGCTCTTCATCCAAGCAGCCAGTCTCGGTGAGCTGCAGGAATCTATCAACACGATGGATTTCGGTGGCTTGGTGAGCAGTGTGAAACAGAAGAAACCGTCGAAGAATGTCGTGACGGAGTTCGCGGCCAGAGTTGAGGAAGACAGAGAGACAACCCAGTCACCTCCTTCCACTACTAGTACCAGAGGTGCTAAGAGTGGTGGGAAGGGTGGCGCCACTGCTTCTACTCGGGGTTCTCCAGCGCCTCGAGGTAGAGGACGGTAGAGGACGAGGTACTCGGTCAGTACAAGAGACATCATGTTCCGAATAGGAAGGCGTTCTGATAGAAGGCGTTCTGAAGGGACATCATTAGTGCGAATCTAATAATAAAACGCGAATCTAATAATATAACTTAATATAAAATAAACAATATTTTTGATGCTACAGTGATTTTTTGAAGTGAAAATTTTTGATATACGTTCTTTGCCACACTGATTGAGAAAAATTGAATTGGCAGAGAAAGAGATTATTTACCAGGGCACGTTTAGTTAGGATTCTCACAAAGATGGTGTGACCAGAGTGAACACTATAACGAATTTTCAAGAGAGTCCCCTCTCTCTCTTCATATAAAATGACTTCTCACTTAAGTTCTTTCAAAGAAATCCATAGGGTTAACTTCTTGCCGCGAACTCAGAATTCACTTCTCGCCAACTCAGACATGCAACAAAAGATTCAAGAATAAGGTCCAAGAATCAATAGACCCCAAAGCATGGGGAATACTTCTCCCCAACTCCAGATATACAACAAAACCTCTAGACCAAACCTCCCGTGATGGGCTAAATGATACGCACAACTTAAAGATATCCAGGATTTGCACTCGGAGGTATCGATTCCAGTGAAGAATTTTCTCACCCTCCTGGCTCAGATATATTCTGTATTTGCCATTATTACATGAATCCCGATGGTTGGATATCGCGATATAAGTTCTAGGTAAACTCCTAAGCTTCTTGCTGTACCAAAACACTCGAATAGCTTATGCGGGGCTTAATATTTGGGGGAGTACGAGTGGTCAAAGATAAAATTGGAATTCCTTCTATCGCGATGAATATTCGAATAGTTGGTTCGAAGTAAGTACGGATAACTTAAGGAAGCTCTGGAATGATCATTATTTAGAGTCATGAATGCCATTCCACTTTTCATTATCCAGATATTTTGACTGTTAGGAATTGGATAAGGAAAGAAGAAGGAGTGTGTGTCGGAGGGGGGCGTGAACAAGTGGTGGGGAGTTCGTTCGATGTGAGGTCAAGAAGTAGTTCGGAGTCCCAACAAAGGAATCTTTGTTATTATGCGATAATTCCTCCGTCTTCTTTTGTTCATGTAGATAAAATTAGAAAGTGAAGGAAAAGATTTGAACAATTGCCTATTCACCCGAGTATTAATTACCACAAAACTGCCTACCGTAACACAATACTTCCCAGGTTTGCTTTGATCTCTTTCGCTTGTCGATGAATACAAAAATATACGTAAATTTCCAGCATCCCCACCCGTAATACATTCACTTTAATAGGTGTTACCCTACCATTCACAGCCAGCCAGTCAGATCTTTTCGATCATTATTAGTGGAACAAAAGGTGAGAAAAAACCAATCCACCAAGCATCTAATAGTAAAAAGACATTCAAAATAATCCCAAAAATAAAATCAAAAAAAGAAATCAATTGTCCTCGGTGAGACTCGAACTCACGACCTTTGGATGGCTAAAGTGACTGTTTACAATCACCTCATATAGGAATATGAGACCAACGCTCTAACCAACTGAGCCACGAAGACTTATTATTGATTTTAGATGCTGATGGAGGCCCAATTTGATCCTATATTGTTGGGATGCGAGCTAGGGTGTGAAGAGTTTTCCTTGTCTTCTTGGCCCGTTGTATATGCACTTGCATGAGTTAGGTTACATCCGGTGGGGGGGGTTCTCCGCAGTGCGCATGTACTTATTAGTACAAGCCAGCCAGGACGTCTGATCACCCGGGTGTATGTCCGCCAATCAACTACGAGGCGATCTTTTGTTCTTTCGAAGGCGTAGCTGTTGTCATCTTGATATTAGCCAGAGACCGAACAAGTTCTCGGTATGATTCCTGAAAACTCCCAAGCTGTAAAGTTTATTGTTCAACCATTGTTCATTATGGTTGTAGGTCAATTTCCATATTAGGTATAGCTTACCTGTCCCACAATGAACTTCAAAATGAAGAACTTCAAAAGTTTTTCAACTTCACTTGATGATCTCATCTACGATAGTAAGGTTGGTAGTCGATAAATTGATATGATTATGATGTCAATATGTACCTTTCCAATGAGACAAATTTCTTTTGGAAATAATACGAATATATTATATAATGAAATATTGAAAATCGGGAGCATCTTTTACCCTTCATTTCATTACTAAGCGAAAAACTTCGACTCAAATTTCATCCCAACTCTGGAAACACAAACGCCGCAGAGTACCATTTCTCATATGATTTGTTATGGGGTTGGGTCTTTAAGTACATACAAATTATTAAATTCAATATAAAGATCGTTAGTAAGGAAATAAACTAGGCCAATACTTCAAAAATGCAATGAATAAATTATTACAGTTTCAAGCTACTCTATAGACAGTAGCTATCAACAGTTAATAAATCTTATTAAAAGGTAAAATGTCATTATTTTCAAATAGATTAAGTTTCACGTACTCCTTTCGATCTTAAAATATTCTAGTTCAATTTCAGAAGGCAAATCCTTTTAATAAATAGCAAAAGCTAAACAGAATATATAGTCTAATTTCTTTACTAAAAACCTCTCCTGGCTTTATAAGACACATCATATTGTTAATAAGTCTCTACATCCGTCAAGTTACAAGTTACAACGTAACCTAACCTTAATGATGTTCCGAGCTCCAGCTTTAATGGACGGGACGAATATGGATTGGCATGCTACTTTTTGGCGTACTTCACGTGCTTCCAATTTCCATCAACGTGGAATCGGCTGAATACCGGTTCATACTCTGTCATCTTATTTCATGGATATTTCCCGAAGCCCAATGCGCCGTTCTCATTCTTGGCCTCAACGCCGTCAACGGTAAGAAGAATATCTTGTCGCCTCGATTTCTCGTGATTCAATGCAGCTGCCAGCTGGTCACAAGTATACTTAATGCGGAATCAAATAAAATGACCAACTGTACCACCGTTTCTTTACCCGATACATACCCTGCTAGGCTGACAACTACTTATGCTCATGTATTGGATGCACAAATACAAATGACTATCAATACCCCGCCTAACCGCCAAGTGAGGGGAAATTGAGTAACTATTCGGAACCATGACATGATTGATACCTTGAAAAGATGAGATGATGACAAGTTAACAACTCATCCAAAGTATTCATCGGTCATATTCTCGGACCGATTGTACTGCAAGTCGATTCCATTGATCCCGTTGGTGCAATCCCGGAGTTGTTCATCCCTTGAACCAATTCAAACGATGGACAGGAACAAAGTCACTCCTAGCCTCCGAAGCTAGCCTCCGAGGCTTCGAAGCGAGACCCCAGCAATCCCAGCAACCCCGGACTTTTGGGTCCCGCTATCGGGACCGGTTATATGCAAAGAAATTTTTATTTCGTCTGATAATCTGGGGAAGAACTTCATGGGTTCAAAGCAGCATTTCACTGCAGACTGCAGACTGCAGTATGCATCTAGATGAAGCTATTCCGTATAGCTGGTCTTAGGTAACCTGAGCTATATGGCTATATGCATGATGCCGTGTGAAATTACAGTACCACTCTTCATCCTATAGCCATTCAATACTGAATGGTGAATGATTTTCCACCCCGGGTTACCCTGAGTAACCTTAACTTTTGCCCAGCCATGCATGAAAGTCCACTTATGATGTGATTCACTTCCAAGGTAACTTTTATTATCCTCACAATTGATACAAAACCCCCGCTATTTCCCCTGAGACAAGAAACTCTATTGTCGATTACTTCTGTTCTTTCCTTCCCAGAAAGCTCTCGAGCAATTGCTATCAAAATGAGGTCTTTCTTGTCAATAGCATCAATTGCATCTATTGCAATCTTTGCGGGTTCTACATCTGCTCAACATGATGGAGACTCTTCCCCTCCCAGTTATCCATCTCCATGGATGAATGGTAAAGGCGATTGGGCAGATGCATATGCCAAAGCAAAGAAATTCGTTAGCCAGCTCACGGTTCTTGAGAAAGTCAACCTAACCACCGGTGTTGGTTGGGAAGGTGAAGCTTGTGTGGGAAACACTGGCACAATTCCACGACTTAACTTTCCGGGACTATGCCTACAAGATTCTCCTCTTGGTATTCGATTCAGTAAGTTCTGTTGTGAAGAACAGCCTTTATCATAACTGACCAATGCCAATTAGCCGATTATAATTCTGCTTTTCCTTCTGGAATGAATGCTGCCGCAACATGGAGTTATGATCTGATGAATGCTCGAGGTAATGCTATGGGAAAGGAGCATCGAGGGAAAGGCATCGACGTCCAATTGGGCCCTGTAGCAGGTATTTAGCTGTCCAAAATCGATTCACTGAGTGTTATTAACTTGAACTAGGTCCAATTGGAAGGGCTCCAGCGGGTGGAAGAAATTGGGAAGGATTCAGTCCAGATCCCGTTTTGACAGGAGTCAGTATGGCTGCAACAGTTGAAGGAATCCGTAAGATCAACCATTCATTTCCCATTATATTCAACTCCATCTCAATTTCTCTTTTCTCTTTTTGTCTCCGTTCACATTGCAATTCAGGAATTGCATTTCTTTTACTCCCGAAAACTTTCCATTGACATAATTGCTAACTACTTCGCTGTTATAGAGGCTGCCGGAGTCATCGCTTGCGCAAAACATTTTATCATGAATGAACAAGAGCATTTCAGAGAACCGGGGTCTGACAATGCTGCATACTCTGCAAACTTGGATGACAAGACCATGCACGAACTCTACTTATGGTTCGTAGCAGATCCTTTGTCTTCGAAGTTGGCTAATCATTGCATAGGCCATTCGCAGATGCTGTTCGAGCAGGAGCCGGTGCCGTTATGTGCTCATACAACCGAATTAACCAAACTTATGGGTCTGAAAATAGTTGGACTCTCAATTATTTGTTGAAGAATGAATTAGACTTTCAAGGTTTTGGTATGTAATTCGACATATTTGTGTAGTTGTGAGCTAACTTCAATTGATAGTCGTGAGCGATTGGTGGGCACAACATTCTGGAGTTGCTAGTGCATTGGCTGGATTGGAGTAAGATTTCCAATTTTTCGGCAGCATAATTTGAGCTGACTTTACTTTAGCATGACCATGGCTGGAGACCAACACCTCGCATCAGGTGACACATATTGGGGCACCTGGCTTACGAATGCTGTCCTTAACGGCACCATTCCTCAATGGCGACTTGATGATATGGTTGTTCGAATCATGTCAGCATATTACAAGGTCGGAAGAGATACAGCTAAGGTTCCAGTCAACTTCAATTCTTGGAACCTTAGTACATATGGCTTTCAACATCCACTGCCAGGGGAGGACTTTACTCAAATAAATGAGCATGTCAATGTTCAAGATAATCATGCCACACTTATCCGCGAAATTGGTGCTAAGTCAACCGTTCTATTAAAGAATACGAAAGGCGCATTGCCATTGAAGAGTCCAAAGAGCATAGCTATTATTGGAGAAGATGCTCATGATAATCCTGATGGTCCAAATGCATGCGGGGATCGTGGTTGCAATATTGGCACACTTGCAATGGTACGTGTCACCCTTCAACCATCCACGAAACTTGCTAACCACTGTTAAATATTATAGGGCTGGGGTTCTGGTACTGCAAACTTTCCCTACCTGATCTCTCCTGTTACAGCATTAAAAGCACAAGCTGCAAAAGATCATACATCTGTCAAGAATGTCAGCAACAATTTCGATTTCGCTGCTGTCGAGGCAGCAGCTAAAGGAGCTTCTGCGGCAATAGTATTCGCGAATGCAAACGGCGGAGAAGCTTACATCGCCGTTGATGAAAATCAAGGAGACAGAAACAACTTGACTTTGTGGGGCAATGGAGATGCTCTCATTAACTATGTTGCATCCATCAACCCAAACACAATCGTTGTCCTTCACACCATCGGGCCCGTCATAATTGAAGCATATAAGAAACATCCCAATGTCACTGCCATAGTTTGGGCCGGTCTACCTGGTCAAGAATCCGGAAACTCACTCACAGACGTCTTGTATGGCAAAGTAAACCCACAAGCAAAGTCCGTCTTCACGTGGGGAAAGTCTCGCGAAGATTATGGAGCAGATGTCATGTACAACCTCACCTCTAAAGATCCACAATTGAATATCGATGAAGGTGTGTTTATCGACTACCGTCACTTCGATGCTGCAAATATTGAGCCATCTTATGAATTTGGTTTCGGCCTCTCATACACCACATTCTCATACTCCAACCTCCACATCCAACGAAAATTCGCCGCTCCTTACACAGCGACGAAGGGACAAACATCATCGGCCCCAACATTCGGCAAAATCAATTATAATGCATCGGCGGCACAATTCCCACCAGGATTCCATAAAGTCCCTCTTTATGTATACCCATATCTTGATGGCCCATTAGTTACAAATGGAAGTATCGTAACCCCTCCGCATTCAAAGGATAGCACACCACAACCACTTCTTGCAGCTGGTGGTGAACCAGGTGGAAATCCAGGGTTGTATGAGGTGCTTTACACTGTTTCTGCTAAGATCACCAACACGGGCAAGGTGGCTGGAACGGAAATTCCTCAACTTGT